AGTTCACTTGAAGAGCCTAAAATTCAATTTTCCTAGAACCAAGAACAGAGCCTGGTACTGACCTTGTGAAACAGGAGTGATTTGGCTATGAATGAAGGGCAGGGACAGAACAAGCTTAAGGCGGTTTGGCAAAATGACAAAGGTAATAATGGCAATTGTTTCTTGCGGTCAGAAGGTCTTGCACTCTTTTAAACACATTTACAAGCATTTGCCATATCCGACACAGGCTCTTTCTGTGGTTTTGATGCAGTAGGAAATTATCTCCAGCAGCTCACTGTTGATACATCAATGGACCCAGTGGACATTTGGTAAGAAAGGAAATTCATAAAAGCCGGATGATGTCCTGGATGGTTTTCATTAGAATTAAATTATTTGTTCAATGGAATACGTGGAAAATGGGGGAAAGAAGAGAGGAGAGGGCAGGAGAAGAGGATGATGGGAAAAGGAAAAAAGGGAGGAAAGAAAGGAAAGAAAGATGGGGGAAGGGAGGGGAGGGGAGGGAAAAGGGAGCAGGTGAGAGGTCAGTTTGCCAATGCCGACTCAGTCGTTCAGAAGTCCTCTGCACAGTAGCTCAGAGCCTGTGACAAGTGGCACCGGATGGTGGAGTTCAAGGTTGGGTGTCTCCTAGTGTTACCTTCCCAGCTGAAAACCTGACGCAGCCCAGTGTTATCTGAGGGAGTCTTACTTGGAGGATTATCTCAATCAGGGGGCCTGTGTGCATGTTTGTGGGGCATGTTTCTTGCCGCTAACTACTGTATAAGGGCCCAGCCCACTGTGGGCGGTGCCACTCCCTGACAGATGGTCCCAGGATGTATAAGAAAGTGGCTGAGCAGGACCAGGGCCAGCAAGCAGTGTTCCTTCGTGATTTCTGCCTCCAGGTTCCTGCCTTGAGCTCCTATCCGGACTTCCCTCAAAGATGGACTGTGACCTGGAAGTGTAAGATGAAATCAACCCTTTCCTCCCCAAGCTGTTTTTGGTCACAATAACAGAAAACAATCCAGAACAGTGTAAGAGACATTAAATATTAATCTTTTCTTTCAAACCCTGTAAAACTTGGAACTTGGTTTATGACAAGGAATTCTAATCTTTTAATCCCACCATATTCTGTAAGACTTTGGTTTAAGGAAAGGACCTGATGCATTCCTAAGCCTAATGGCTGGGGGTGCGGTGGAGCTCTTCTCCCTTTGGCCTGATTCTTTTAAACTAGCCAGGTGGGAAAGACTATGAGGTTGGACCTCAGCCAATGGGGAAAAGACAGTTCTCTTAGGGACCAAGCTTCCAGGTCCTGTGTGCTTGCTGGAGCTGACTGATCACACAAGCCACCCTTTTGCAAAAGTAAAATCTGCCTTGCTGAGTTACTTTCACTTTATTAGGGTGTCCCCATGTGGCAGCAATGGAGTCCTTGGACCTTGGATTTTATATCTAACAACAGGGTGTAAATATTGCTGTCCCCACATTTCTTTGACCACAAAATCTCACTAATCAGAAAAATCTCTTTGCCAGACTCTGGCATACATTTTAGGAAATATTCTCTTAGACCTGTTGGAATTATCCTGCAGGTCCAAGATGAGTTGGATCTTCTGGTATTAGCCTCATGTGATGATAAGTAAAGGTGATACTGTCATGCCTCACAAGTCACCTTTACTCAGAGAAGAGCACTGTGAGAGAGACACAGAAGCCAAGGCAGGATAGAACCCATGGGCCATCCAGATCACATACACAAGAGTCACTCATGCCTCAAAATTAAAGCTATGCAAGGGTCTCCACCACTTTGGCTGATGGGAGTTTGCAGTTAAGAAGGTCAGGAACTATATTTAAAGTCACAAGAGTCTTCATGTTGTTGTAATTCCCATTAATCAAATTCACAGCATCTCTGACAGCTTAGGGTACTTGAAGAGAACTGCATGGAGGAGTAAAGAAACAAAAAATGTGTGAAAAGTGGATTTTTTTCTGTGTTGTCATATATTTGCTTTCTTCTTTTTTTTATTTTTTTTCATAAGAGCCCCTTTAGCTACGTGATCCAGGAGAACACACTGAATTTTAAATTTCTACAGTCAACTTCTTATGTTAAAACTTCTAAAAAGATTTGCGTATGCTGAATAGGCATTCTTAGAATAATGTCTTGAACAATAAAATGCATGCTTACAAACACAACAGGCTTCCTACTGGAAGGGCGTGGTTCCCAAAGTCCACATCATCTCTATGTCGATTGACTGGCATAACATATACACCCTCATTTCTTTTGCAAATCCCTTTATGTATGGTAGAAGAGATGTTGAAATCTGGTCACGGTTTGCGACTTATAACCTTGGTACTTTATTATCAAGGTTCATAAATTACACAGAATTTAGATTAAAAAATGCATATCTCAAAATTACTTATCCACCCCCCAAGAGATTAATACTAAACACATCAAATTTGCGAGAGTAAAAGGGAAGAAGGGATTATGGGAACTCATCAAGGATGTGGAGGCTTAATGCAGATAATTCCTCCTCAGTTCCAAAGCTTTGAACTTGGTTAATGATTATTACAGATGAAAGAAAGTGCAGTTTACCAAGCTCCCCAAAGATTTGCATATTAAATTGCAAACCAGCAGGTAGGGTAGTGTGTGCTCAACTTCCCCTTCCTTTATCAAGCTTGGGAGGTGGGGAGTGAGGCAGGCACAGGTCAGGTCGGCTCCAGCTCACTTTGGTATTATGTTTGAATCTGTCCTAAAACTTCTAAGTCCTGGCTTTTTCTGCTCCTATCACCAGGACCACCCATATCCTCCAAAATAAAATTCCTTTTTCTGATTTCAGATGCCTCTTTTGGTAAGCCTATTAAAAGTCATACCAATATCTGTATGTTTTCTGATCCTTCTGCTAACAATATTTTTTTTCTTAGTACTTTAAGAAGTTGTTTGCTATGTTAGGCAATAATAATTGATAGTGGTGTCCCCCACCCCCATACACACATGCACACAAAATCCCTGTCCTCATGAACCTTATTTTATATGGGGGAGGGAAATGCCAAATGAGAATGTCTGCAATAGTAAGTGCTAAGGACAAAAGAAGAGGGGGATCAGAAGCGGGTGTCTAGATGGGCCCCACTTTAAATAAAAGGGTCAAGGATGACTTTACTTAAGAGAAGAATTTGAATAATCACCCTGCCTGCAATAAGGGAGGAAGTGAGCTGTGTGGGTCCAGAGAAGGAGCTGAATTCAAGGGAAAGGCAAAGCACAAATGTGGTTGATATGTCCAAAGAGACAAGGATCCTAAGGGGTCTAGACAAAACAAAATGAGATTGTGGACATTGAGCCTGGAGGTTACACAGGACACGGGGACTCAAGTACTGCGATCCTGTGGCCACTGAAAGTATTTCGCTAAGAGAAGTGACTTCATTCAGACTTGAGTGTACCAGCAGTGGACAGTGCAGTCATTTGGTCCCCAGGGGTGACAGTGGGGGCTATGGGAAATGTCTGGAGTCTCCACATACTTAGAATACAGAGTCTTCACCAAGAGTTAATGGGCAGGATTTGAGGAGTCCCCACAAAGTAGCCCTCACTTCTGTTGGGTTTACACACGTCTGTCAGCAAAACAGCCTGTTTCTCCACCTTTCCTGTCTCCATTCAGAAAGTCGGTGCGGTGTAGGGCTCATGAAGAATGGTCATGTGTGGGAATATTTGGAGCATATATACACAAGGAAGGAGAAAGGACCTAAGTAGACACATGCAATGACCAGGCCACTGTGATGTTGGAGGCAGGCTGAGGTTCATAAGGGCTTGTTAGGTAATAGTATATTAGCGGGCTTGAGGGTCACTGGAGATGCACACCCCCTCACCTCCCGTATCCAGTTGCTTGTTAAACCAGGCATGGAATTCCGATTATTGTCAAAAGAATGGGATCTAGCATTATCTTTGGCCCTGGGCAGAGGAATCAACATTCTGAAGTAAGCAAAAAGTCCTAAGACCACTATCCAGTGGAGGCTTTGTAGAAAAAACACAGGCATACTACTGTGCCCTTTCTTAAGAGTTAACCCGACTGGGCCTGTCGATCTGAAATCCTCCGGGCAGGAAAGCACCCACCAGGGAAAGCTGGCTGTTCTGGAGGCTTTAGAAATACTGTAGAATCTGCCTTCAGTGTCCTTCTGGCCACTGTCCACTCCTACCGCCTGAGAGCACCTCTTCTTTAAGGCCACAAACCCCGCCTAGCCTCTGCACGCCGCTCTGCGTGACCCATTGGGAATCTTTCAGCAGAGATCACAAGGACCTGGGAGACCAGGGAGTTCAGAAACAGAGAGACACCCCCCCCCACACACACACACACACACAAGTTGCAGGGGAACTACACTTTTTCCAGCGACCTAAGCTCTACGTTTGTCCAAAAGATGAGCCAAATGCTATGTTGGGGGGTTGGTGCTTTCTTGGCAGACAAGGTCTCCTAAGCACAGTAAAGAAGTCAGGCCTAGGCCTTTGTCTGCTGTCCTCTCCTCAGGTGAGGTACTGGGTAAGCATGGGCAAACAGCCATGTAACACTATTATGGTAGCAAGAAAGGCCCTTTAGGAGCCTGGGTGGAGACCCAACAACCCAGTTCAGCCAGGTCAACCACCTGTTGGAGGGACCACCCCTGGGAAGGGGCTTCACCTTGTCATGCTAACGAGAAAGGCAGATTGATGAGAGCCAAAATCCCCATTTGGCCCATCTTTTGGATAAACTAGAATTTAGGTCGCTAGAAAAAGTGTAGTGTGAACTTTTCCTGGAATCCCACCCCCTAGTGCAGCAGCGAACCGGCCAGCAGCCCTGTAGCAAATCTGTGTGCGTTTCTGAATTCTTCTAGGCTCTTTTTCTCTTCTTTCTTTGCTAAGCTTCCCCTGAAAGTCTGGGTTTCCCCAGCATTTTTAATTTCTCACTCCTTTAAAATTCCCCTCCTCACTAGGGATTGCCAATCTGCCACAAATCTGACCTTTGACCTTTGTTTTCGGACAGTAAATTCAAGCCCCCACCTTCTGAAGTGGCTCTTACCTTGTGGTAACACCTAAAATATGCAGCACGTTCATCAGAGAACTTCTCGAGTCTTTTTGGACCCTTACTTGAAGCTTTCTTGAACACTAACCAGCATCGTTGATAAATCTGAAAGAAAACACAAAGACAGTTTAGCATCTCCACTGACGTGGTGGTTCCTGACGTTTGCAGTTAAATATTGTCCTTTGGATGTTTCTGCCTGTAAAAGATTCACATTTGAGAAAATTGTAACATTTCTTTGAGAAAATAAACGTCAGGAAAAGAAATGGGAAAACTATATATGGTTTAGACAATTCCTGAAATCAAAGTAATATAAGTGGTTGAGGGTTAATTTCTCAATGTTTTGATAATGATTACTGGTAGTTGCATTGCAAAAAAGTTTGGAAGATAAAAATCTCAAATCAGGGGCTGGAGAGATGGCTCAGTGGCTAAGAGCACTGGCTGCTCTTGCAGAAGACCCTGCATGGCAACCAACAACCATCTCTAATTCCATTTCCAGGGGACCCGACGCCCTCTTCTGACCTTCATGGGCATTGCATGACACGGGCGCACTTACCTACATGCAGGCAATACATACACAGAAAAATAATAAAAATTAAAAAAAAATAAATT